TTTTTTTTCCGAATCTAATTGGAAGTCACCGCGTATGTATAACATACAGGGTGCTTCACTATAAGACTTTTCTGCAACCCACTATGTATGTAACGTGTTAAGCGAAATGTGTCATGTTTAGTAGGTTCCTAAAAAGTGTTATAGTATTACAGGCATCTACCATATATATATATACCTATAATATCCAAAATTATGTTATATGTAAATACATATAAATTTATTGTATTTTTTTAACTTACAAAGAAACCTGCTTGTTGTAGTAGGCAGAGATAATCTTCTAATTCCTCAAAATTTGTTTACCTGTGGTCTTGGCGGCATATCTTCTATTACTGTTTTCTTTCTGATTTGTCACATTTGATGACGTTTTCATATTGGAGATTTGTTCACTCGTTTCCTTTAGAATTTCTTTTGTTTCGCACATATTTTTTGTATTTGTTTCAAGTCTAGAGTAAAATTATGTTCATTAGCACCTAGTTCATAAAAAATTGCAGTAACACACCTTTGCAACATGTTATGGCAAAGCGCCTCACTTCCAAAAACAATCACCGTAAGTTCTTCAAAATCAGCGGGAGTATCTTCAGTGATTAATGGTGGTATTTCCAGCTTATCTGAAAAAACTGTTGTTGTTATTTACGTACAGTTATCAAAAACAACAGAAGCATGTAAAAATTAAAATGATTACTTCATTAGAATTATATTAACTTACCTAGTGTAAATAAAACCCACACTGAATGGCACAATTTTCACAAAACTGCATTAAAAATGAAGTGAGTTACGGATTCACGAGAAAGGTTCGGTGGTTGTGAACCAAATGGCCAAATGGAATTCGACAGCTTCACTGTGAGTGTGAAGTGCAATAACCATAAATACGGAAAAAAGGGATCGTCCGACTCTTAGACAAACCAAACCAACAAAGGTCCGACGGCACCCCCCAAACATCTGGTGGATAGTAAATGCAGAAGTTGAGCGTTATTTTTTCATTAGATGAAATAAATTTAATAAAAGCAAAATTAACCACTCTCTAATTTTTTTGCTACCCATCATCGCTTTATAAACGTCTTTATAAAATCTAAATTCGACGAATGAACTCTTCAAAACCTTGTCCCGTTTCAGGGACAATGGGCAAAGAATTTTTATGGCTTTGTTTGTGTCGTTGGGTCTTCCCTATATTACCCCAGATGTTTAAGGTGACCAGACGTTCCGATTTGATCGGAACTGTACCAACTTCAATACTCTAATTCCGATTTCAAATTTCGTCCAATAAATGTTTCGATTAAAACATTCGTTCCGTGAATGTTCCGATTTCTATAAATCTGATAAGAATAAAGAAAAATCCTCAGATAAATCACTAATTTTCATGAATAGTAATTTTATTTTGTGAAAAATTGGGAACAAAACTTGTATCAATACGGTTGTCAGCAGATGTCAGTACTGTTAGTATATTACAACAAAAAATTTTCAAAGCAGTTATATATCAGATTACGATGGAAATGGAAACTAATGTTCCGATTTCGGACTTTTGAAATCTGGTCACCTTACAGATGTTCTATTTATAATTTGCCAAGCAGGTACTTACAAAATAACATTTCAAGTGAACAAGTTTACAAAAACAATTCTTAGCAATTATTACAATGAAAAAAACTTGTCTTTGGTGTATTTCTAATAAAGGCGTTGTATTTTTCGCTCTGAATATAATTATTAATTAAGCATTACGAACTCACTGACGAAGGTCACTTTTTAAAGAATACGACGACCCACATCTAATTGACCATATAATCTTTAACAATAAATTTCAAATAATACCATAGTGGTTTTTTTAAATTTTGATAAGGTGTTGTAAAACTATTTCTGCTTCTGTCTTCATTCCAGATACTGTATTTACGTGGGCAAAGGATGCCGTATGTGGGATTTTAGGGGCGGAAACGTATACTTGCTTAAATACTGGTGTCGAACGAAGACAAAAACAGAAACATACCCGATGTATTGGTTATTATTAGAGAGCGGATTTTATGAAATTTGCATATCCGTTATTTTTTGCATATAAGTCTTGATATTTAATATGTAGAGCTGTGCGGTTGAAATTTATTTATCCCCACTATCCGTCCCATCAGGCCAGCAGTGCAGGCCGCTGCAGTCTTGCCTTCCTCGCTTCTCGGTTCCCATTGTGTATTATTTTTCATAATTCACATCAATCGTTTTATTGTCAACGAGACCGACACTTGAACATTATTAAAATTATTATTCTTATTATTTCGTGGATATGGATTTTAAAATCATCAACTGACTTTCAGTGAACATTATTTTTCGCGTAAATCTCTTCGCGATACGTAACATCGGCTGTGAGCCGCTGGTCTGCCGTAGTAGGGGTCGATTCGAAGCGTTTAAATTTCGACCGCACAGCTCTATTAATACGTGAACGAATCATGCTAATTAAAAATGAATACAGCTATAAAAAAAATTGCATATTTCCATATATTTGCCTTCTGCTGCATATTTCACGTAACGGGTGCATATTTTGCATTTTTATCAATTTCTGTGCTACTTTGAAAAAAAAAATGGCATTCGATCGGCATTTTTCTAGAAAGACGAAATTTCATGAATAAAATAAATAACTGGGAAAGGTTTGGGTTTTATGGTAGTTTGGAGGAACCACTGGGTGTTAAGCCATCCTTCCAGGTAAATTCGGGTCCTAATTACTTTTGGATATACCGTTCATTTCAATATTTTTGTTCGTTGTATTAATGGTATGTTTTATGGTGGTCGACGTGACGTTATCCTATTATTTTTCATTGTGAGTTTGCATTTACGAGTAAGTATTTAAAGCGATAGAGGTGTGTGTCAATATGTAGATAACTCAAATTAATTTATGAATTAAACCTTTTCCTGAACTTATTCTTCAAGAAGGAACTGTGTTTTGTTGTGCCTGCTCTAATCCGATAAGTATTTTTACATCTGTGGACGCAGTACGCAGTTTTTATATTTACAAATACATACTTTAGAATCACCGGAAAAATTTTTGTTAGAATATTTCGAAAAATATTTAAAAATAAATTGTTACCAAAATAGTAATTAAATAGTCGATTACTACTATTTTTTAATTCGTTCTGTTTACCTATATTTATTTTTTAGTATAAGAATATTATCTTAAAAAATGTCATTTATTTGTCAGTGAGATCTAATTAAACACTTTGCAATGTGATTTATGTATTTTTTGTAATAAAAGGTAAGGTGTTTTTGCAATTTGTAAATAAATTTAGTTCGGTTATTACGCTTTTTTTTTATTTTCGGAGCATATGCAACTGCATATCTCTGCATATATTAAGAAAGTTATTGCATATTTGCATAAATTTGATGCATGTCATATGATCATATTTCCCAAAATTTTGCTGCATATTTTCCGCTCTCTAGTTATTATACATACACTCTATTGCCGAACATTAAAAAAAGTCTACACTATTTCGTCATATCTGCTGCTTTATTATCAGTTTTCAGTTAGCTACATATTGGACATGAAATGAAGTGAATTTTGTGAATAATTTAAAGATCAACCACGAAAATACTCAATTATAATTATACATTATACATTACCAGTTTATTTTAGAGCCCAAGATTACATTTGAAAAATCTAAACTTTTGAAAATTTAATGTTAAACAGATATACTGAGTGCGAAAGTCAATACACAAAACTCGATGATCAATTATTGTTTCGTATTCAAATTATTATTTATTTTCCTTACGATCAAAGTGAAGAAATTATTTAATTCATTTTTATTTAAGAACGATATCGCTGACCTTGAAATAGATTAGTTTTTTAATTTCGATTTTTTTCTTTGTGTTGCTTTTGTTGCCGATCAACATATTTTGCATTAGAATTAATAAAATACTTAATGAAATATATCATTTTATTTTTCAAGCTCATTTCAAAATTCTGTATATGTATAATTGTTCCTTTTTAGCAGTGACGCATAGGCAGAGGTTAAAAAATAATGTCTCATTACTAGTCTTAATTCGTATTACCTGTTAGATGGGACATCTTTTAATTCTGATCATAAACTATGTGCATTAAGTGTCTTGTTCTGTTTTATAAAGCGCAGGTCGTTATGGACGTATAAAAATAAAATTATAAATAAATATAATTACAGGAAATATAATATGAAAAAAAAAATTAAGAGCAACTCACTATTGGCGTCATCTCGCTTGTGCAAGATTTAAGACAGGGAAGAAATTTCTTTTGTTAAGACTCAGCATCTTTTGTTTATGAATATACTATTTACTTGCAACACAGACATAAATAATAAATATAAAATAGAGCTATATAATACTCGATATGTATGTTTTTAAATGTTTTTTGCTGTTGCCCTGTCAGAAACGTTAATTTTCGATTTAACATGCCATTTTGTAAAATGAACTGAAAAACACTTTACATCATTAACTAATAAAAATAAAACATTCCGAAGCATGTATATATATATATATATATTAATCAGATATCTAGTAACTACAGTTAACATTACTTTTGGTTACATAACCGTAGTACTCCTTTGTGATGTTACAAGGCTTACCTGCCAACTATATCGCTGCGACACAATAATGAGATATTTAGTAAATGCAGTTAACATTAGGTGTTAGTTACATAACAGGAGTACCACAGTGTGATGTTTAAATGCTTATATGCAAGCTATATCGCTGCGACATAATAATGAGATATCTAGTAAATGTAGTCAACATTACGTGTTGGTTACATAGCATGAGTACTCCATTGTGATGTTATATAGCTTACGTTCCAGGTATATTGTTAAGACATAATCATGCGATGTACTTATTGTTCTTTTGTGAGTACGTACCTGTCACGTCAACATCACAACTGTGTTTACTGGGTAGTAGGTGTGGTATTGATTACTATCTAAATAGTTAACAAAATTGTAATTTGTCTAACTAATAACATAACTTTATTGTAAGAATAATTCTGATACCACTTAACCTTGGCGTCTCGATAAGGGTCGAGAGTACGCAGAGGGCGCAGAGACGCGCATGACGGAAGATGATGACGCACGATACAGGGCACTTATGTAGAGTTCTTGACGTACCTACGTCGTACTTGTAACGCAGTCACCCTTTAATTAAATAAAATATTTAAAAGAAGGTTTTATTCTTTTACAATCAGAAGTGGGATAACAAAACCCGACGTGCGTATTTCTACGACGTTTAAATGTGTTGTTGTGTTGTTATTATGTGAAAATTACGGCCATCCAATGTCACGCAAAAACTACGGAAATGTGAACACCCTTGTGGACGAAGCTCAGTCAAACTGTAGGAAAATCTGACGACGATGGTATCGACAATGTTCAGTTTTACGTTATTGTCGAATTTAATATGAAAAACGAACAACTAGTTAACGAAATTCCGAGAATGTGGCCATATAAGCAATCTCATCAGGGGCGCGAGAAGATGCCTTGCTTACAATTTATTGGGAGGTTGATTTCTTGCCAGCTGACTACGAGTAAACGGATGCTTGACTGGTGACAATTCATAAGTATTTGTAATTATTGCAACAAACCTTTGTAACTCTTCTTATGGTAATAATTTTCCACGTAATGGATGTAAGTATTACGCTAAAATGTAAGTACGTTTAATTGTTTACAGTTTGAGTAGTTCTATTTTACTAGACGTTCAGTAATAACTTTACGTAATTGAGAGGATCACAAGTGTTAGGTACATTTGTAAACGATATGTTGTTCATAGTCGTACATACGTAAATAACGTTGCATCTAGTTGGATTTGAAGAGATACGTTAACAATTTAATAAAATACGATTATTTTTGAAGAAATACGTTTACGATCTTAATCTATTGATGGATTATTTGTAAATAGACACGTTCACGATCTTAAAGAAACGGCATTATTTGTAAATGGTGCTCCGAATTGAATTAACGACCAAAATTAATAATTCTTGTGCTATTGTTGAGTTTGTGGTTCTCAAAAATTTGTATTTTACGTTTGAAGTCTGTACGTACAAGTATTTGTCTCAAAGTAATTTGTGTCAACTCTGGTAAGAAATCATGTTACGAATTTATGATGATTTTAATGAAATACCTGCTTTTACGGTGTCACAAAGGACACTACGCTTTCTTCTGTTGTTATAACGTTGTTTTAAGTTTTCCTGACAGCAGAGAAAATCACCTTATTGCGAGTGGGACGTTTCGATTCCTCTTAAGTTAATTTATCAACAAAACGAAATGACAGGAAAGTACCTGCCTTTTTGAGTGAAAACCTAGCGCAGAAAATTTATTTTGAAGGAGTACTTGATCGAAGGTTCTAACATTAAGTATGTACTGTGTACTTACTGTAAGAATATTGTTAGTCTTGAATGTCCTTCCACGTTTCTCTGTATTTTCAACCAAACATATTATAAAATTAAGGGAAAAGTGATAACTTAATCTTTAGAGCTCCTAAAATTAAAGATATTTAGCTGCGATAACAGACCAAGCCTTATCGTTAGCACTGCATGGTGGTGAGTGATGAAATAGCTAGGAATTCTTCGGGCTCGATAAGATGAAGTGTCACTGGATTTACGAATGCAATGCTTCAGTACAAGTAGACTTGAGTCGATCAGCGTGTCACATATTATCACCATTTTATTTAGGTATTTGATAGTTATGTAATCATTTTAAACTGCAATCATAAGAGATAGAGACAGAAGAAAATGGTCTTGTAGTTGATTTATTTTTGAATTTAATTCATTAGTTGATGAATTGCAGAAGTTTGTTATACTAGCATTTCTGTGCTTTGTTTGGATTGTTGTCATTCGTTTTATGTTAGCCGAATTCGTTATGATCTTTACTCAATTGGATTCAATATATTATATTATAGCTTAAATGAAACGACACTGATTTTAACTCCAGTTTATCTAAAGTACGGAGCCATGAGTCGACTTTTGTTTTACGATGCCTTTTCGTTAGTTCTCAAAACTAGGTCTTGAAATTCAGAAATAAGGAATAATATGGTTTCACTCGATTTCTGTAATTTTCAAATATTTCCACTTCAACGTGAATATTCATTATAGGCAATACCATTTAAATGAGACAAGCTTTTATTAATAAATGTACTATTGTCACCTTTTAAAATATCAATTCGTAAAGTTTAAACACCAATATTGTTTAAATTTGAAATCAAACAAAAGCAACGTAATATTAATACGCAGAAATCAAACAAAAGAAACGTAATATTGCTACGGAGGAAGTTTCATAAATACAATTTGTCTTAAATTACGTAATGCCTAACATGTTAGTACGTTCATGTGATGGTTTCTCTAACATAAGAAGGTAACGTTTTCGCAGAAACCAGCATGATGATTTAAGATATGATAGTAAGTTCATCATTACGAGATTGACGATGTTTTGTTGTCACACTGGCAACATTCATAAGTACCTTCTAACACGAAGTAGTGGTCCCTTACGTACGCCCATTTTGGTGATTTATTTCTAACGTTGATATTTTTAAGGTTACTACGAAAGCTTTCTTTCGGCAAAGACATGACGAGTAGATGGAAGTAGTCAACGGACTAGCTACCACTGCTGAAGTGACGTTACGAACAGACGGAAGCAATCGCAGGCCAGCAACTGATACCTTATACCAGGCCAGAGGATCTGCTTCACGAATTTTTAAGACCAACGGGTCTACTTTACGAGGCGCTTAGGCCAACGGGTCTATGTTACGATGCGCTAAGACCAACGGGTCTATCTTACCAAGCGCTTAGGCCAACGGGTCTATGTTACGATGCGCTAAGACCAACGGGTCTACCTTACCAAGCGCTTAGGCCAACGGGTCTATGTTACGATGCGCTAAGACCAACGGGTCTACCTTACCAAGCGCTTAGGCCAACGGGTCTATGTTACGATGCGTTAAGACCAACGGGTCTACCTTACCAAGCGCTTAGGCCAACGGGTCTATGTTACGATGCGCTAAGACCAACGGGTCTACCTTACGAAGCGTTTGGACCAACGGGTCTACTTTATAAAACGCTAAGACCAACGGGTCTACTTTACGAAGCGTTTGGACCAACGGGTCTGTTTTATAAAACGCTAAGACCAACGGGTCTATTGTATGCGACGCTTTAACTATTTCAATCAAACCAGTTCAAAAATAAATAGAACCAGACATAAGCCATCATTCAATAAAAATAAAACAATAAATAAAAAAAAAGTAAATTAGAACTTTAGTAGCTTTAACATTTATTATTACAAAAATAAAACAAACTATTGCGGGGCTTATTTCAAAATACAATAAAAACATTCGTAGATCTACTATTACACAAATACAATAAAACTAGCGCTAGATTTATAAAAAAAAAGACCACTCAATAGGTCTACCACAAAGTAAGATGACGAGACGAGTAAACTTAGGTTTACTTTAACAAATAAGACGAGACCACTCAATAGGTCTACTTCCAAGTTACGCCACGAGTAGACTTAGGTTTACTTTAAAAATTAAGACGAGACCAACGGGTCTATTTTACGAAATAATAAGACCAACGGGTCTTTTCTTTAACCATTTTAGGAAATCCATCTTAACTATTTTAGGGAATTTACGTTAACCTTCTTAGGAAATTCTGTAATGATGCTAAACGCAGAAAGTATTTGCATTTAAATGCAGCCTAGAAATTATACGATGGAAGGCCCAGATGACGATTAAAATCTAATGAGCAGAAATATGTAAGTTTCGAAACTTTCTAAAATTTGTTTTAGTATTCGGTTTCCAATCACGGGTCTGTGGACAGCCCCATAGTCAGGATGGCCGAATGTAAGAATAATTCTGATACCACTTAACCTTGGCGTCTCGATAAGGGTCGAGAGTACGCAGAGGGCGCAGAGACGCGCATGACGGAAGATGATGACGCACGATACAGGGCACTTATGTAGAGTTCTTGACGTACCTACGTCGTACTTGTAACGCAGTCACCCTTTAATTAAATAAAATATTTAAAAGAAGGTTTTATTCTTTTACATTATTTATTGTTTATAATCATTTCATAAACACGTAGGTTACAAATGGTGAAATAAAACGTGGTTTGTAAAAATATAGGTTTAATTTTTCAACCAAAGATATGCTTACATGGTGAGTGTCACTGGAATAACTTTGGCACAACTATTAAAAAAATCCGGAACCCTTGGTTTCATTAATTACATTTTCACCCATTATCTCTGTTTCATTCGTGTATCGATTCTCCGAACTTTCATGGTATTTATAATTTTGCCCGTAGTAAAAGCAATGTTAGAGCAAAACCATAATGGAACCTCTCTCTTTGGCATGTGCCATGTCCTACCTTACCTATGCGGGATTTTAATTAACGCGCTTTTAAAAAATTCACCGTCATGCATGAATTAAAGGGTAGTTTCCCGTGGGTCGTGATTTATGTATGGCGAAACAAAGCGTCGTCAATATTCGATAATGCACGCCGGCCATTAGCTCTTGTGCATCGGCATAATTACGGTGCTCCGGGTCGCAGCAGGCGAGGCACCGTCGCAGATCGCAGATAGCCGTGACAATGGCATGAATGCAAGATTTTGATACGTCTGTGGAGATACCGATATGAATGGGTCTCGTCATGAGGAGATTTGTTTCAGGAAAGGGAACGCCAGCGGCAGCGCGCCGGGAAATGTGGAATGGACGTTTTGTGTTCGGAAAAGCGCGTTAATTGAGGTCACGTGATGGCGTAATTCATCGCACAGTTATGAGAAAGCTTAATTACTGCGCTCACCATGGGCACGCCGAGCTTTTTTATCAATTATCCACCTCATGGTTCCGTTCTTTTAAACCGACCACACCATGATTTGTGAGGTACAGGAACCGATCCATTATTCGATTATCTGATGGTTCGACTTCGGGACTTCAGACTGTTTGTGAGTTTTGAGTGGTCGTTCTTTAAAAGAGCGACAAGTGATGTACGCGCTGGATTTTTTCGATTTGGGTTCAAACTTACTACATTATTTAATGGAAAATGTCAGATAACTTTCTTATTTTTGCTTATACTTAAGTATATGTTGATCTTTTTGCTTAGTTTTATCTTTGCACCGTACCAGATATAGGATGCAAAAGCAATTTACTGCCATTAAAAGTTACTTATTTTTAGTACCACGTATACTTTATACAACGTGATTCATACGTAATAATCAGAATAGAATTGGGAATGCAAACCATGAATACGCTTCCGAAAAATTTGTAGATGTATATACTGTTCAGAATGTATAAGGTTAGGAAATCTGACAAAAACTGTAACACTGTTTGCAGTAATTTCACACTTCGCATTTGAAGACATTTTAATCTCTTAACAATTGACGACATTCAAAAGTTGATAGCCGCCAAAACTTAATAAATGTTTAGTATTTTTGATAACGTAAAAAATAAATCCACCCTATATCTGAAAATATATTTTGGCTTGCATCTTTGGCTTGATCAAGCTGAAGCTAACGTTGTCATTATGACCAAAAATTAAATCAATATGAAAAATTTGTTGTTTTAACAGGATTGTCACTGTAACCATGGTCGTTATACATAAATACATTATGATCCAAAACTGTTCAGATAAAGGAAGGTGTGATGAGCGCGCACAGTAGATGATTGTGTTGAAAAGAAATAAAACAAGCTTACGTGCATTAATCACGACCTCTCTTTATCTGAAAACTTTTGTTTTATGCGGTATAAATGTATTAAGTCTTGCCAAAATATGACGTGCAGCCGAGGTCGTTATAAGCGATTTCTACTGTATAATTAAACAAGGCATAAAGCTTAAAGCGATATTAATAAATATAATTCTGTTATTTATTTTACAATTTATTATGTTTGAATATTTGTTGTACAAAGAGCGTTAACTCTTACTAACAAGAAAAACGGGTTCGGGGAAGTTGCCTGGTCGAGAACAGCGTTGTAACCACTTACGAATTCGAAATGTGGGCGGCAACTGGTTTTGCAATACAAACATTCCATTGAGAATTTCCAGTGTGATTGTATTCTCACTCGGGGTAAAAAATTATTTTTATAATACTGTATTTTCTGCTCAACACTTTAGGCACACAATTTGCACTTAAGGTGACATGTTTGTTTTAGCTTGACTAAATTTCATTGGTCATTTTTGTGTCAGTGTAAAAAAAATGATTTAAAGCGATTTATCCAGAGCTTTCTCGCCCCTGAGGTTCATTCAAACAGGTTCAGTTTCTTCAGTTAAATACCCCTTATATGTAGGTAATTAGGTATATTATAAAATTTTCATAATCGTAACTTAGGTGCCAACCAAAAAAATCTTTCTTAAATTTTTTATCAAATTAATTGGAGACGTTTCTGACACCTACACAGTCTGCCAACACAGTCATTTATGTCTTTTGATTACGTTAATTAATGTAATTAAAAATAGCCTGCTCCTTATAACTGCCTTCGTGGGACTATCATTAAAAACTAATCTATACAGAATTTATTGAATGGATTCTAAATCAATTTTGGCCTCATTTTAAAATCAGAGTCGCACAAAGCATAAATGAATTAACACTGTTACTAAACAATGAACCTGTTTTACAGATTCATCTTTTCCATTATAAAAAGAATAACCTTGCAGGTATGCGTGGCATGTGTACGATGATACTGAGTTTCTTCTTGAATGTTAGAAATATCTGATTAACTTTCGTGCAAAGGAGTTATTTCTTTTCAGGCGTTCACGTTTCACTAACCTAAATTATAATAACTAGTTGTGATCCAGTTTCACTCTGGAGGATTCATTTCAGCATTGTGCATCCTGAATGGAATAATGTCTCTTATGGGAATTTAATATATTTTCATATCATGAACTGAACATTTACAGGCGGCAACTTGTCAAAGTAAATAACAGACATTAAAACTACAGCTCATAATATTAAATGGGGTTCGCTGCTGTTTTACACTACTGTAACTAAACCAGGTAGTCCAGGTACCCAGATTTGCGGCAATATACTTTTGATGTACGTTCTATCGCTTAAAAAATTACAACTTTTTTTATTTATATTTTACATTTAAAGTCAACTAAAGTAATTTATTTTTAAAATGGTTTTCTGATGACACTCGTTAAAAAAGCTCGAGATGTACGTTATATGTTTGTCTTAATTTTTAGTGTTTACAAACAAAAAATAAAACATTTTCCACCACGTCCGGATTATTTCTCTCAAAGGCCCGCTCAGCCGCAACGGCATCTACCGTATCCTTGCATATCAATCCCTAATAAATTAGTATTCACACGTACGTTATTTATGGTTCAATTTCTTACACACGCTGTCCTTTATAAAACCCATTGCAATCCAGTTGTTATCAACACGTAGGTAATACATAAAACAGGCTATCTGCCGAACCATAAATAAAACAATTGTGAATACTGACGTACATGACAGATGCCCTTACGTATGAGTGGGCTTTAACGATTTCCGGTGAGAACAATTTTATTACGGATCGAACAATTCTTACTAAAAATGTTGTAAACACTGTGGGCAACATTTTTACTCTTTTTAACGTTTTATTATTTCCCTTATGGCACTTACTTGCGCTGCGAACTGTCAATAAACATCAACGTTGGTTAGCCTGTGAATATTCTGATGACTCAGCTGTATTTTGTAAACACAAAAACGTAAATGTTGTTATTCTTTGTCTTCAAAGGTGTTGCCGTCAAAACAAGAGCTTCCGCCACCTCTATATTAATTATATTTTAGTCTGAGGGTAAAATTTATTGACATAATATTTTATACAAATATCTTCGTGCTTAAATTCTCAACACAAAGGGGTGCTTTATTTTTGCCTTTGCTTCTTTTACTTCTCGTGTTCGGAATTAAATGAAAAGACTTACCTAATTTTTCATTAATTCTGGGTACACAGCAAGTTGGTGAAGTCATCAAAAAATTTTGTTAAGGAAATCTTGAAACATAACATAGCATGCTCCCTCTGTAGGTTAATATTCCAGCCTACTTTTTATTTTAAGATAAATGGATTATTGTCAAAAAATAAAATTTGTATTATGAAATTTTAAAAGTTGTCTGAGAAACTGGTCTTATTCGACGGATTATGCTTTAAGGTCGAGGGAAGTTCCCATTAATCAAATTTACATCAATTTTTTTTGTGGTTAATTGTAAGTAAAATTCTCAAAATTTTATAAGCTGGTATATTGTTGACAAGTAAACAAGTAAACAACTCAAAAAGGTACAAAGTAATAAACGCTGTTTTGATAAAGCGTTCTACCCATTGTCAATGTATTTTTATAACATAAACGGATGTACAGGTATTGATTTCTTTTGAGAGCGAAAATTTTATGGTTTAGTACTAGTGCTCCTTGTACTATTGGGCTAATTAATTATTATTATTACTGGTACGTACTTTTTATTGACTTCTGGATAATTTTTGGAATTTGTTCGACATATTCTGGAGAGGCCGTCTAATTTATTAATCATATATTTTCAAGTTAACGTAGAATAAGAAGGTCTATAATTACTTAGTTTTAGAAGTTTTATACAGGGTTGCTAAAAAGTATCTAAGCAGTTGAATATCTCGAGAACGGTTAGTTGGATCTTCTTGAAATTTGGGTTATAAGTACTTCAAAATGCTCAAGCTCTATTTTCTGTAATTTTTTTAAACTTTAATCTTCAGTTGTTTTCAAGATGCAAGGCGCATTTGATTTTTTTTTCTATAGCACCACTAGCCAAATCGTCAATTTTTGAATACACTAAAATGATACCGTTAACAGAACCTGAAGGAATAGAAATCTATGCTATGGCGACAGACGTCGAAGCAATATTGAAGTAGCAGCACTTTTTAATGAAACTCATTACAATCGAGAACAAGTCTCTAGGTCGACGGTTTCAAAAACATTGCGCAGATTTGACGAAACTAATAATGTTAGAAATCGTCAAAGAACCGGAAGATCAAAAAATGTTACAAATGACTCTCTTAATATCAAGTTTGATGTAACTGAAACTCCAAAAAC